GACAAGGGGTGTGACTAATATATCAAATGTCCATATATGGTCATGCAACCTCATTAATATTCATAAATGTAATATCTAAAGCTTTGTTACAGATGGAAACATGCAACCAGTAAAACATTAAAGATATTTGCCAAGAGATGTAACTAACATATTAGATGACCATATATGGTTATTAACCTTTTGAATATGCATAACTGTTCTATCTGCAGCACTGTTACAGGTAGAGACATGCAACCAGTGCCATTTTTAGGTATATTCATGGTTTGTATCAGTTGATAACAATTGCAGTTGCCATAGCAACAACCATATAATCTACCATGTTTATTTTGTAGTGGTCCGTTCTTATGTGGCTATGGCTGGAGCTTGTCATGCTGGAAAAACAGCCACAAAAATGAACTTAGCTGGCGAGCCATATGATGAAAAGTATGACAGTACAGTAGGCGGTGATATGTTTGTTTTAGATCTAGACAACTGGACAATTGAACATACAGGTACTTATTTGTGTATGTTTACTGCATATTGCATTTGAACATTTCACTTATTCATGACACAATTAAGTACATACTGATATTATGCTAATATTGTATGTTTACATATCAATACAACATTACACACACAAGAACAAATCATAGTAGCATCGGGAAATAGCTAATACTCTATAATGCTACCAGTTATATGCAATTGTACATAACTGTTACTTTTGACAGAGATAACAGTAATATGTGTGTGTGCATATAAGCACATAGACATGTATATTCCAATCACATTTACAATTTACACATATACCTCACATAATTAGGCTCATTTAATTTCATTGTGCAGACACGAAAATGGCTGAATTGTGGCTATTTTAGTGTATGATCAGACTACCCTGGCATATTTGCTAATTAATCTAATTGTTATTATAATAGTGAAGATACCATGACAAGAATGTAAGTATATAATCAGCATTTACAGAATGAGTGGATGCTTAAGACTTGATTGTATAAACTGAAAAGAGAAAAAATGCAAAACCAACAAAATGCAAGCTTTATGATAAGCAAGAATACTTAGTCTAGCAAAATGTTCTGAGATGAACACCAATTAGTTCCTTCACAGACTCACTAATTTGCATTTAAGTTACTAAAACTGTTTTCTTCAATTTGCTTGAGCTCTGATCATCACTTATCACACCATCTGCATGTTTTTATACTTTTTTATCAATCTAGCACGAAGTGATGAATCCGGGAATAAAGGTATCCATACTACTCGAAGCATATCACGTACGATTACGGCTCCTTTAGATAGGAAAGAGAGTCAGCAAGCATCTGCTGATAGATCAAGAACTGAAAAGCTAAGACGTATTGATGAACGTATAAGACGAGTAGAAAACACAGATGCAGTAGACTTTGATGTCACCCTACTAGATTTTGCAGGACAACAAGTCTATGAAATGTCTCATCAGGTCAGTCATTATATTTTTCTTTAATTATTTTTACAAAAATATTTACCCTTTTGTCAGACAACAGCTGTATCCTTTGTATTATCCCAATTACACATTAATATACCTATATCTGACATCATATCATGTAGTGTATATACATGTAGAATACCGG